GGCTTCTTGGGGGCATCCCTGGTGACGAAGTGGCCCCCCGAGTCAGTGTACTGCACCACCACTTGGGAGGAAGGGCCGAGGGTGAGGGTGTGCGGGATCACTGTCTGATGGGGGTGCAGGGGGACCGGGATGGTTGGAGGAGAGACATTTCTGACGGCGCTCTGGGAAGAGCTGGAAATGTGGACGTACTGGTTCTGCTGGGTGGGTGGAGGAGACCCTGCGGCGATCAGCCCAGGCGTCCTGACCAGGTGCGGCTCAACTTTGTGTCCTTGCTGGCTTAAGCCGCTCATGCTGGCCAGCAAAGTGGAATAAGCCTCCAGCTGGGAGCGCTGGGATGGAGTGGTCGCAACAGCCGTGGCCGCCGCCACGGCGCCGGTCGCGGAATTGGCTGTCGGGGAAATCAGCTGAGAGGGGATGAATCCGGTGTACGACCCGCTGTACTGGGGCCCGACGAACTGGAAGGTGTGTTGCAAGTGTGTGTACTGCACGGGGGAAACGGGGGTCCCTGACTGGGAGAGGGCGGGTGAGTACACCGTGGGGAGAGTGGTGGAGGCTGGAACGGACCTGGGTGCGCTCGGTGGCGAATAGTTCAGCCCTGCAGACAGCGACTTGTGCAAACCCTGCTGTAAACCCACCTCCACCGTTGATGATGACGACGATGACGACGTCCCCCCGGGGCGGTGCCGGCCACCTAGGCCGCCCTGGCCGCTGGGTGTGCTGGGGAGCCATGCCAGGTTATCCGCACGGTGGTTTTCGTTTGGCAGGATCGGCTTCACCTCCGAAGGCAGGCTGGTGGCAGGGATTTCTCGCTTCTTAGGTGGCAGGCATTCATTGCTCCGCTCTTGGTTGGATTTCATCTTTCGCCGTCCCCCCTCCACTGTGCTTGCTTCACTGGCTGGCTGGCTCTGGTTTCAGTCTGGTAAACGGAAAGTCACATTTGATTTCTGCAAGGGGTCCAGTGACTTCATGAGGAATCATCTCCCCGTGAGTGCGATCCTCCGGCAGCTCCTCTGGATTCTGCAATGAGAGGGTGGGCAAAGGAGCAGGGGGTGAGTCACATCATCAGCGCTGAGAAAGGAGAACAAATGAGCAGGCAACCCCAAAAACAGCAAACGAGAAAAAGAAAAACCTCTGGAGCAAAAAAACCCAACTATCAGCCATGACTGCTCTCATGTCAAGGAGCAGTTGACAGCTGTGCTGTAAACAGCAGTGAAAATCCTGGGCACGTCTGCTAACACATCACGAAAGTGATTAAAACTTTAGGCAGAACATAACTCTCTGGCTGCGACTTGCTGTGTTTAACAGTGGTGACTTATTTCTCACGTCTCCCTTTCTCTTTCCTCTGGGAAACCCTCCATGTCTCTAAGGTGCCCGACTCGCTCTTCCAGCTTCTCCTTCCCCTACGACGACGTCGCCTTCACCCCGTCATGTCCAAAAAAGCACAGGAGCACGGCAGGCAGCCCTGAGGAACGTGCACGCGCAAAATATTTACGTTAGCAACAAGCAGCTATTGGCGGTGCGGAGGGAAGGCAGTGGGTCACTCCTGAACCCTTGAATCTCAGACTTTCCGGCACACTGGGCAGGGCTGCAGAGGCAGCAGCTGCCCAAAAAAAAACCGCGTGCCCCCTGCCGCCACGCTACGGCTCCTTATGGGCACACGTGTCCTTTGTCTACCAGCCTGGCAATGAACCATCAGCCACTCGACCTGTTCACACCAGCAGCCCAGAGCCAGAGATGGCTCTGAGCCAAGTTTTTAAGGTGTGTTTTGCTTTGTTTTTTGTTGTTTTGTTTTGTTTTGCTTTGTTTTGTTTTGTTTTGTTTTTCCCTAGTGCTTTGAACTCCCTCAGCTGTTGACACCTCACAGCCAGGTGCCCAGGCAGGGCTTTGCGCTGGGAGATGCTTCCCCACCGCACGCAGCTTGGCCAGAGCCAGGTGCCAGCACCTGTGATTCTATGATCCTACAATTCTACAATTCCATGATTCTGTGATACCATGATTCCATGATTCTATGGCTCTATGGTTTATAGATCTCCATCTCTGTTGGGATTCAATCCCCCTGTTTCTCAGACCAGGGAAGCTGTGGGTACCACACTTGTGGTCACAGCCATGCATATGAACCCCGAGCCAAGTCGGCCCTGGTGACACCTCATCAGGACTGCTTGGAAAGGCACACTTGCGTTTGCTCATCCAAACCAGGAGACCTTACCACTGCAAAAACCTCACAGCTTTATACTGGGCTACTTTTGCTACTGGAGCAAAACAGTTGCTTTCTCTGTTCTGCATCACTTAATTCAGTGACTTCAGCCCCCAAAATGCTATGAAGTCTTCCTTTTCCTCTGCTAAGGAAAACACCATAACTAAATCACATCACACTGCATTTCTGGCTGTTTCGAAAGACAGGAAGAATGGGTGCTGAGGAACTGTACACTCATACAACCAGCAGCCTAACAAGAAAAGTATGCATTATATGAAGAAAAGATAGGGAGAGAAAGAAGTAAGAGTGGATGTGAAAGAAGATGGAAATAGGATATAGTGTACTTTAAAGCAAATGCTGAGCAGTTGTAATGATACTTATCTTATGGCAAGTAATATTCCTTTGGGGGATTTCTTTCCCTGCTGCCTTGCTTCTAATGAACAATAAGCCTGATGTTTATATGCGCACGCAGTACTTTGAAAGACATACTAGACTAAGATTAAACCTATCTTTAAGAGTACTCTTTACATTTATGGTCCTCCAAGCTGCTGTAAGCCTGTAGGAAAAGTCCAAACCTTCTGATGGCTTGATACAATCAGTCTTCAGCTAATTATTCCGTTGTTTAAATATTGATAAGCAGTAACAAAATGAAAATGTAATGAAACACCAATAGCCATGGAGCTGGGGGCAATAAAGCACTAACATTTCACTGCGGATTCCCTGGCTTTGAGGCCAGAGGGAGGATGAAAGGACTCGGGGCAGCTTCCAGAGAGCCAGGAGACAGGGTCCCCGCCGTATTGGCATGGGTTTTCCCCCTCCTCCTCCCAGTTGCTTGGCATGTCTTGGCAACAACTAAAATTATTACATTACACATGACATACAGATTTTTATTTTTAAGCCCCGCTAAAAATAAAACCGCCAAGCTCACATTTGCGCAGTCATCCTTAGTTAACTTTAGCTCCCTGTCGCCTTCTGCCCTGGGCAGAAGTTGGCTTTGGCAGGTAAGTCAGCAGCTCCTGGACGAGGCAGCTGCTCGGGAAACGCCTTCGACGCAGGGTGCTCGTCTCGCTCCCCTTGCTACAGAGGAGCTCATGCCGGGCTTGAACTGTCCTTCGGTCCCTCGTGGAGATGGACGTGAGCTGCAAACCCCGAATTTAAATACGGTCCCACAGGGAAAAGCTGAGAGCAGAGGGCTGGCCCCTCCACCTGCAACAGAGCAGGGAGTTTGTACATGGGAGAGCACAGGGACAGTCTCTTTGCTGTGATGGGTAAACCAGGCTCCCCAGAACGAGTTGTTCCAAAAGATCCAGGTGTCAGGGTCTGGCTTTTCCGCATCAAAAATACTGGTGTGAAGCTGGATGAGAAACCTGGTGAAGCTTCACTCTGCAGGAGCTGAAGTAAAGGTTTTGTTCTGCTAAATAGCCCTGAGCCACTGAGTTTTGGGCAGTCTCCAACGTCAAAGCTAACATCCTTCAGAAACGCCCCATACTAAATCTTTGGGGTTTGGTGGTTTTTCTTGGTGTAAATCTTTCATACGGCTGACTCCATCACCCCCGGTAACAAACGGGCTGCCCAAAATCTCCTGGAGTGTGCAGAAGGGATGAACAAGCTTAACAGTGACGAGCGGTGAGACAGCTACAGAGTGGTGAAGGCTGCCCCACGTTTCCAAGCCCAAGTGCTTCGCGGTGAGACTTTGAACTCCAACAGACACAGACACGGGACTGGATTTGCAAAAATGCAAATGTGCGGCATAAAACAGTCTACTTCTCCTCCAAGACTTAAAAGTAAGTTTGCAGCATAATTTGAGTTCCAGCAACAGCAACGATAAGACAGGACTGATTTTGCTCAGGAAGCAATGGAAGGCAGACAACCCGAACAGACCGTCTCAAAAGCAAGAGGAACAAGACCTGGTTAAACTGTTCCTTGCTGCCTGTCCTAGAAAGGCGAGCGCTTGCCTTCTGTGGTGCGCCGCAGGGTTTATTTGTACGGGGTTGGTTCAGTTTTGTTGTTTGTTTGTTTTTTTAGATCCAAGTCACTTTTCTGACTCTCGAGATTTCCTTTCTCCTCCACTTCAGAACTGTCGATCACAATTTGCAAGATACGCAAAGCACCAGCAAACACCAGCTCATTTCTTTTTCTTTTTTTTTTTTTTGTGCACCCGCTTTGTGTGCGTGCATGTGTCACACGAGTGCAGCGTGCGTACGTGCATGCCTGTGTAATTAGGGCTGGGAAGGTAAAGGGGACAAAGGGATCAGGGACAGCAGCTGGACTTTGGTATCTCTGGCAAGCGAGTACACACGGAACATTGCTAAAGTGTCTGGACAGCCAGTGTCCGCTGGCAGCCTGCCCACACTCGAATTCCTGGAAAGGCTTAAGGCAGAAAAATAATCGCTTGGAGGAGTCACCATCTGGACTTGCTCTGGTCCCAAAGGGATTGCTCGCTGGAGCTCAGGATGTGCATTCTTCATGCAAAACACCAGCGTCTCTCTGCAAGGCACTTTAAACCCCACTGTGCCTCCCCAAACTGTATTTTTCTATTTATTTCATCTAATAAATCTGAAACTCATGAGAGGATGCTGGGTGACAGCTTGAGGGGCTGACCTCCTTTATTTATGCAGAGTTCACTGTAGCAAAGGTGAAGCCAGCAACTCGAGCCTGCAAACACGCCGTGACCATATGCTGCGCCCCATCACCCAGGACCGAGCCTCGGGGCGCAAAGAAATCGGAGCCACACTCACAAACTGCAGCAGCACCTGGCTATGCAAATGGTGGGACTTCACCTTCAGAAATCAGGCACTTTTTGCAGTCCCATGATGTAGCTAATGTCATTTTTTTAGGTCTCTAAACCACCTTCAGAAAATCTGGTCCCTCATCCTCTCCGGTCCCTGACCTTTCTACAGTTGCCACTAAGGTCACAGCAGTGTGTGCCACGACCACGAAGGGCTGCGAGCACCCGCTCGTTTGCTTTATTGCATGGAGCAATCACCCAAGGAGGGCAGCCAGCTTCAGGGATATTCAATCCAAACCAGTCCCTTATTGTCAAAAGGTTCCTTCGATCCCAAACTCACACAGATTATTACGACTTTTCAACTTTCACCTTCGAGCTCCAGGTATGACTAGTAAATTATCCATGAGATGTCCCCTCTGTCAGACACCGTCGCTCTGCCTGGCAAGTAGATGTCAATGCAATATTCAAAGAATACATCAAAAAAAATAAAAATCATTTGAATTGAAATACACGTCTCTGGGGTGCTGTGAGGCAGAAGCAATGGCACAGTCTGATGCTCCTGCCTCAAATCCCATCCTGACAGCATGGGTGGGTAATTCTGGCCCCCTCTGCTCCCAGGAGGTTGGCATCTTGCAGGATCGGACTTGGAGAGATTAAAAAGAAGACACGTTGCAGAGGGCTCTGCAGCTGCGTTCTGGCTCCTCAGATCTACGTGCCAGCTTTCCTCCCCGGCTCTACACCCTGCCCGCTGCCAGCTACATATTCGTCATTGTAACTGCTACAGATTTCATGAGCTTTGCCATGTGCAGCTCAGCTCTAAGAGTTTATTGTCCAATCCGACTGATTTCACAGCTCCCTGGCAGATTTCCCAGGCGGGCCAACTGCAGGGATCCATGAATAAGAAACATGAAAAACCTGTAAGAAAACGTGAAATT